AGATGGATGAAGTACACTGCTGAGGGAGCAGCGGGCGGGTCAGGAGAGGTCTGCCTCACCATGTGGTCACCTCCAGGGCAGGCGGGGATCGAACTCATGCAGAAGTGGCTTTAGCTTCTTAGTGCAGTGCCTGCTGTGCCACCAGGGAGGGCCAATGTATATCTTTATTTTTTAAAAAATGTAGAAAAACAGGTAATAATTCCTATGACTTAAACTTTATATTTTACATTCACTGAAATGAGTTTTTCTTATTATAATCAACACACTTATGAAACATAAATACTTACTGTAAACAACTTTAATGTTTGACCATGGCAAGGGTACTTCCATTAGCAATCTTGTTATAGCTAATTCAAACAATACGGTTTTTCCAGATCCAGTTGGAGCACAAATCACAAAATTCTTATCTGTGTAAAGAAGCTAAAAAATAGTATTTATCAACTACGGAATATACAGTTTCTTACACACAATCTCAGTTTGTCTTAGGGAGAATCTAAGGAATACTACTAGTTCAAACATTTTACTTCCTAAAATTATAATCTAATTCTTGGTTCACCACATTAAAATATAACACTATTAATAATCTGCCAGTTCTTTTTGCCAGTGATATGGTAGACCTAGAAGACAATTTCTTCCAGAGAATTTTTATAAATCTAACAAATACAAACCAACCACTTATGAAAGTCACATCTGTTAATTTAACAAACATTTTTTAGTTCCTATTATGTACAAGTCACTGAGTATGACACTGGGGACATAAAGTTGAACTTGACCCTGCCCCCGTCCTTAGAGAGCACACAATGTATAATATAAGAAGCAGATAAAGTTATAATAAAATACTTACATCATCAAAGGCTTTGGACTGTATATAGTTGAAATATGGGAATTCTTTGAAAATACTCCTAAATTTTGTTGCTTAGAGTAATATCAAGGATTCAAATATTTCATAATTTTAAAAATGGGTTATCTTTATCTTTTAAAATGAAGTGTTGTCACTTTAACAATACTTAAGACTTTTATACTTGGCATTTGACATGATACATGATAAAGTTTTCCTTCAGAATTTAAGACAAGATAAAGAGTTTTTTGGACAAACAAAAGGAGGAGTTAATTATCATTAGACTGGCCTTATAAGAAATACAAACTGGAGCTCTTCAAGCTGAAATGAAAGGATGCTAATTAGTAACAGGCAAACAGACAAATAAATAAATTCAGGATACCCTTATACTGTAATGGTGGTAGTTAATCACTTATAATCTGACTAGTATAAAAGATAAAAGGCAAAAGTATTAAAAATAGGAATTACAATAATTTGTTGATGATACACTATACAAAAATATAAATTGTGACATCAAAAAGTAAAGCACAAAGTAGGAAGTATAAAATTGTAGGTCTTGTTTGTTTATCCAAAGTTATCAGTAAAAGACAGTTTGCATACAAGCATCACATAAGCACAAAACAAAATTCCATAGTAGATAAACAAAAGATAGAGGAATCCAACCATATCAATAAGGAAATCATCACATTCAAAAGAAAAGAACAGAAGAAGAAAGGAGCTAAGGAAATACAGTCAGCGAACAATAAAATGTCAAGTTTATATCAATCAATAATTTTTTCAAATGCCAATGGGCTAAACTCTCCAATCAAGAGACTTAAAGTGACTGAATGGATTTAAAAAATAAAACTCAACTATATGCTGTTTACAAGAGAATAATTTCATCTAAGGGCACAAACAGGCTCACAGTGAAGGGATGAAGAAAGGTATTTTAGGAAAATGGAAATCAAAAGAAAGCAGCAACAGTCATATTTAATCCTATTTCACTTCCCTTTATTTAATTCTAACCTGGAGCCCCACCCACAGTATTGCTAATTTCATCTCCATTATTCTGTCCCACTTTCTCATTTTGCTAGTACTCATCTCAGCACCTTCTAAAATACTGAGACTCCTGGATATACTGTTATAATAATTGTTCACATTATTCATTCCCAATTCCCATTCCAAGAGTGTTAACTCCTCAATAGCAAATTGACATACTTGACTGACATACAAATACCCAAAATAGTATCCAGAACACAGTAAGCATTTATTAATTAGTACACGTCGGCATTTATTAAACCAAAAATATAGTTTATAAATCTTCATTTTGTTTTTAGTTGTGAAGATTTGTCATAATATTTGTGCAAAACAAAAATTAATTTTGAGTTTAGTAATCCAGTTGCTGAAGAATCTCATCTTTCCTTCAAAATATGTCTCTTCCAATAAAATATTTGTTTGTAACAAGTCCACAAATGATCCATCATGGTGGGTTTTTCTCTCATTAGGTAGTGTCATATCAATTATATTCATAATAAGGAATCTTTGATTTAGAGTACAGGTAGAATCAGTTTGCTAGCTCATGGGGAACTCAAGTACTAACATTTATAACTATAGACACTTAATACTAAGTTTTTTCTTTTGTTCAGTAAGATCTCAGCAGAGTCAGTGTAATACATGTCCTAAAAGGGAGGGAAGTATCTGCAGAACTGAAAATGAAAAGAGTACTGTGGTAGTATAAATGTGACCAAATCTCTATTATCCTGAGGATTCAAATACTAGAACATTGGAAACAATCACAAAATACTGTGTCCAAGTAATCCCAAAACTCTCAAATAATCATGAATGGCATTTAGTCCTCCACTTTAATTATATACTTGTAAGTAATAAGTATAGCAGTTAAAAATGAATGTGACAGCAACTGAACTTTTGGGAACAAATTAATGCACTCAACAAAGACCTAAAAAACTACTTCAGCATTGATAACAGCATGAATATCTTTAAAACTCTTAAAACACTGAGTCATATTATAGCAAGTTTCAGTAGAAGATAAGAATAATTTCCCACCATATTGATATTGAAACTAACTAAAACTGTTTACTACTCTCCTATTTCCTGTATTTCCAACCTATATATATGAGAAGGAAATGCAGCAGGGCTGAGACAGCATGCTCAACAGAAGCACTAACGGCTGGCTATGTCTCAAGTTGTTACATTATTATGATTAACTCTCTTATTATCTTCTCCATCACTCTGCATGGGAGGCAATTTTTCATGAGTAGCCAGACAAACATTTTCTAATCATGCTTATGAATTATCTAAGCCAGCAGCATATCTAGGATGAGAATCTTTGTTCCCTAAATTTCTCTAGTTCAAATGGATAATATATGGAATTCTGGAGTCTTCCCCATCTTTTCAGTCACTAATTCCATACTTCTGAAACACAGTTTTGATGACTTGCTCAAAAAAATTATGATTTCTCCTCTTTGCTTATGGCACATATTTTAAAAAAATTGTAGTCTTTGGTCTTCGTGGAATTAAATAATCTAATCCCCAAACAGCTACCTGTTTATATTATTTCCTACTACTCCTTTAATCAGGCCTTTTGTCTTAGCCAAGCTGGAACACTTATTTTGTACTTTTTTACCCTCACTCCTGCTCATAGTTACGCTTGCCAGAACAACTTCTTATTTCATCTGCCTTTCAATGCATTTGGAGGTAAATAAATAAGGCATGGTTCTTACCTTCAAGGAATTTATAAGTCATAGGAAAATAGTCACGAAAACAACTAATGGATTATAGTAAAATTGATTAAGTACATTGCCTTAAACATAGGGCATCAAAGTAGGAAAAAGGATATTACCTCTAGAACACAAATTTGTGCTCAAAATACTTACACTGGAAATGCAAAGACATGTAAATTGGATTACATTTATAAACTGTAAATTAGATTCTTTCAAAAAATATTAATTTGTAAAAATCTCCCAAAAAATCCAGAGAATACCCAATTCTCATTCATTTACCCCACCCATATTTATCCCAATACAGTTGTCTTTATCCCAAATGTAAAAAATTATCTATATGAATTTGTAAGTGAATATCTCAGCTTAGTTAATAATACCTATGTAACTTGTGTACCTACCTTGTCAGAAAGTAGTAACAAGCATTTCATAAATTGGCATCAGTTTGCATGCAGATCACACTTCGAATAGTACTGGACTACCACAAACACTGCATTTCTAACATAACCCAAAAGGTTTACTTTTCCCTCCTTGTCAATCAAAATAAATAGTAATACAACAATTTAAAAAAAAAAACCTATGAAAAGAAATATGAGTTCAACCATAAAGCAGTTAAATAATAATTTTAAGGATACGGATTTCTGTGACAGCCTTCAAGGAAACTGCACCATTTTCTGTAGCCCCTGAAAAAAAAAAATTGTACATACGTAAATGCTTTTTTTTAAAACTTTTCCATAAAAATGTCAATAAAACTTGTATGACCTTTCATTAAGAGCACAGTTAAGAAATATGAAAGCACAATTTTAAAAGATGAAACATGATATAGAAATGCAGAAAATAGCAGTGATAATCTACTCAAATTTACTCTAGTTTTGTAATTTTCCCTATGCTAAGCAGTAGATTCATTTGTGCTTTTATAAAAACAAATGAGAAGGCAAGGAATTACCTTGAATTTTGTGAGGATGGGATGAAAAAGATGGTGCTCTGAATATACTTCCTCCAAGTTCAGAAACAGAAAAAGCATCACTTGTAAACATGTTAATGTTTGAATACTGAGGTTTCTGCTTACTATTGCTACATTTCCATGAACCTTTGTTCATTTCTGTTTGGGCAATTTTCACTGAGCCAATATGAGAATCCAAGTTTATACTGTCATTAGAAAAAGCACTCCCATGCATACTGTCAGATATTTTAAATAATCTGAAAAACAAAAACAAACCATGGTGTGCACTTGTAACTCCATACAATGTGAGCAAACAACTCACTTCTTTAAAAATACCCACAGATTATGGGTGTCAAACTCAAACATTTATCATTCTCCTAAAATATGATTCATTAAACTTACCACTGAATTATATCTTTACACTTTCCTAAAATTCAGATATATTCATCTCTGGTAGCCAGTTATGAGATGACCCAATGATTGTTTACGAGTATTCACACCCTTTTGTAGCCTTTTATAACAAATCAGGACTAGTATATATGACTAGTTAATGCTGCAGAAGTATGAATGAGACTTTCATGGGTCTATCATTAGACATTGTGGTTCCTACATGGTCTCTTGTATCACTCACTCCAAAGGGAGTTAGGCATCATATCATGAAAAAACTCAAGAAATCCTAGAAAAAGGTCCATATACTGAGGTGTCCTATCAATAAATATTTCCCATAACACCATGCAAAAATCATATTACTATAAAAAATAATTCTTTGCAAAGTTCTGGAAAACACAGAAAGACCTCTTTATGATTGTAATATAACTATGTATGACTGATAAGAATGTATCAAAATAGGGCCCTCCCTGGGTGCACAACAGATTCATGCGTAGCACTATGAAGCTATCCACAGCCACTGCAATACAAGTTCCATCCACAGCCAGGGAGGTGACCCACATAGCCCAGCAGACCTCTCCTGGCCTGCCTACCGCTCCCCTCAGCAGTGTGTTTCAGTAGATCTGTCTGTCCTGCTCCCCGCTCTGTCTCTGGTGAATCCTCTCAACCTCCCACACCTCTGGCCTGTATGCCTGTGGCCCAGTTCTTGTATGCATAAATAAATAAATAATTTTTTAAATTATTAAAATAATTTTTTCACAAGAAAAAATTCACTTCAGGGGTGAAGTGACCATTAAGGTTTTTAATGCAACACTCACATATTACAGAGCAAGTAATGAGGATGGTAAAAACTTGTATACAAATATTCATAATACTACTATAAAAATACAATCAACTCAAATGCCTATCAACTAGATTAACTGGACATGGACAACTAAAACGTAGCATATTCATTCAATGAAATATTTGACTAGAAAAAGGAATAAAGAACTAATATATAATGTAACACAATAAACTTGGGGAAATGTTATGCTAAGTGAAAGTATATGCTAAAGCTCAACATTCCTACTACCCCTCAAAATCCATTGATGACCTCATCTCATGTCATAAAGAAGATAAAACCTAGCACTAGAACTCTTCTGAATCCTACACCCATATATCCAATTACCTACTTGAACAAGTCGTAAGTACATAAAATCAATTTGTCCAAATCTGTGCTCATCACCTTCCCCAAAGCCTATTATCCTTTTATAGCTTTCTGTACCATGAGAGGACACTCTACTACTCCTAAAGCCAGAAAATTGTTAGATCTCATATCCATCCAATAATCACTTAAGTATTATGGGATTCCATCTCATAAATAATTATGATCTCTCTCCATTTTTGTTACTAAGATCCTAGATCAGGTTAGCAATCTCTGTCACCTAGATTAATAAACTTTTGAAGTGGCATTTCACAGTGTATTCTAACTCCTTTCTAATTCATTATATTGACGAACATTATTTCTCCTTAAGGGGTAAGTTTAAATACCACTTTTCAGAACTTCAGAAAAGTTTTCCCTGACTCTCATAACAGATTAGGTCCCCATGTAAGTCCCCTACATGCCGTAATAGTAGTTCTCAAAGGAACTTTCTCAGGGAGTTCCTAAGATAAAAACTATTTTCATGATGCTACTAAGGAATTGTTTACCTTTCTCTATCTAATTCTCTCACTAGAGTACACAGAGTTTTCTTGAGGCTCCAAGTCTTGTAATATCATAATGAACTGACTGCAAAAGCAAATAAGAAAATCCTACCATTTTCTCTTCATGAAAGATTTTATAAAAATGTGAAACAATGCCACCACCCTCACTAAATTTTTTTAAGAAAAGTTTTGTTTTAATAGAAATACATTGTTTACATTAACAACTGGGACTAATAGTTAAACTAGTAAATAAATATTTTTAATGTTTTGGTTTTAATTTCTAACATGGTTAATTATTAATAGATATAATCCCCATTAATAGAAAGGCTTTTGGGACTCCTCAAAATATCTTAAGTGTAAAAGAATCCAGGAACAAAATATTTAAGAAATTTCTGCTCTAACCATATACTTATCAAAATAATTGTCATATAATAATGTATTTAATCAATTATTTCTGGAGGTTTACTTTCTCTTTTTCTCTCATTGAATTCAGGCTCTTTGCAACAAACCTGTGCCTCAAATCTCAGAATTAACAGTGCCTGGTGCATAGTGGAATAATGTTATTGAAGCCTTTCTTATTCCAATTCTACTATACTTCATATTTTTGACATACACATATTCAACTTTACTCAGTGTTATTTACTTCATTTAATTACCTTTTTCGAAATGTTGATGTGCTTGCTCCTTTATCCTCTGTAAAATTAACTAACTTTATGTCTGAAATACTTTTCTCAGGTGCTATCTCAGTGCCAATGTGATTTCTGTTCTGGAAAGAACTATAGGTCAGCTTCAGAGCAGCATGCGGTAAATCATTTTTACCTTCCCCTCCTAAATTTAGATCATTTTCCTTATATTTTCTAGAAGGAGAGGTAAATTGGAACTTTTGTATTGGTGAAGCAGAATTTTTGTCTTCATTAGTTATCTTCAAATCTGATGTTAACATTTTTGGTCTCTTTTTCTGACCTACAAAATGGAAATGAATTACTACATATTCTCCATGAAAACAAGTTTTCAAAATGACTATGGAAAATTTTAATTAAAAATTTTAAAAGAGTTTACAAGTTAAGTAGGAAATTTAAAAGAAAAATATTAGTACATTAAGAAGATACTTTGTATTGCCATCTATGGATATTATACTTAAGCTGTATTATCCCAGTGAAGGGCCCTCAAAAATTAAGAATTGCTGAAATTAAACCTATAAATAAACATAAAACCTACATTATAAAATATTTAATTCATGACCCATAGAAATAACCGTAATTGCAATAATTAAATATTTTATCTATAAGAAATGATATAATTGTACAATTATGAAAATTTAATAATTTAGAAATATAATGAGTAATCATACAAAATGTTATTGACTATGACACAGTACTAAAACATATGATACAGTGCTTTTAACTCAGCAGTCTTGCTTCTAAAATCAAGATAAAAGAATGTTTTCATGAGGGTGACAGAATTTTAAAGGTTTCCTTACAGAGACTACAAGCAACTCTGGGAAGCTTAGAATAAGTTGGAAGCTTTATTTGGGCCTATTATGCTTTATTATTTACATATAATGAGATACATAGCTATCTCATATGTGCTATATATTATTTGATATATATAAAAGTATGTTTAACATGTATTTGAGTAAAATGTTATGAAAGTTAATAAAAAATGAATACACATGAATCTGCCATCCAATTTAAAACACATATTTTACCAACAATAACACATTAGATCATACATACTGGTTGAATAAGATATTTTGGCTTTATAAAAATAGTATCAAATTATATATAATGTGAATCCTGTTTTGTTTTTGCTCAATCTATTTCAGGATCTGTTTTCTAGAATCAAAGGATTTTACCATGATAAAGCAAAAAACTAAATCAAAGTGATAGTTTTAAAGATAAGAGAGAAAAAATTCACAGATAGAACAGGGGGCTTTGTGTTAGACGGATATAAGTATGCATATGTATGCATATCTATATATATGTTTGTATGGAAAGAAAAAATGTAAAATTTCGTAAGCACTATCCTTTTATTTAACCCATTAAAATATAATGATTAATATTTGATTATGTTTAGGTATTTTGCACAAATGTAAACTACAAGGGTTTAGCTTCACAACAAATATGTAGTAATTTACCTAAAAGTTTACAACTTTCTATTTCTTCTTCTAATGCCTGAGTATCTGGAATTTCTGAAATCAGTGGAGCAGGCTGGAGAAACAAATCCAGTGCTTTGTCATTTACTGGATAGCTATATAAATATGTAAAAATGTAGATATGTTAGTAAAGATGTAACACCAGAAACTATGCATTTATTAAACATTATTCAATTAGACTCTTAAACAATGCATAAATTAACATGTTATCACTCTGATTTATCCCTATACAACAGCACTCTCAATCTTTTCTTTCTTTTATGTCATAGGATTAGTAACACTGGCATGTGATATATACTACCCAAATAAAGGCTATTACTCCATCTCTCCTAATTCAAATGCTTGGGACATGGATCTTAAATTCTGTCTTACGTAAAAAGGAAAAAGTAGTAAATTATTCTTGAACTTTAACATCTTAGCTATCACAAATTACTAGTAATGATATACCTTGCAACTAGTCATGGGTCCTCAGTACATAAATGATGTCAATCCTGATATTCTAGAGTATACTCAGAGCATCATTATATATTAATATCCTAACACAGATATTATTCCATAACCATCTACAAAGTGCAAAAAATCAAATCAATTTAAACTGACAATCATTTTTTAAACCTAAAGTAATTGATGAGATTTTTGCCATCCTGTTGGCATTATAAAACTACCTCTCATTTTTAACTCTGCTCCTGCTTTAATATTTCCTTTCCTATCAAAACTTATTTGTTCTTTATTAGAACAAAAAGATAGGTGCTACAGAACAAGGAATAAAGGACAAGAAAAAGCACTACTGATGCCAAGTCCCAAGGATTTTACGAATTAGTAAATTAGTAAAGCTCATGGAAGTGACAGAAGTGGTCTTTTACTTCTGCCTTTCATAGAATCTAACATACAGCCACTATGGCTATACTTGCCAAATAAAAATCTGTTAACAGAGTAGTTAACAGTATCTGACAGACTAAAAATAGGTCAAAATGTTTAAACTTTAGTATTTGTCTGCAGTTTCACAGTATCAACCTGTCAATGATTCCTTAGGATGACTCACAGGACTGAGCAAATAGACCTATTCATGACTATGGAGTAAAGACCAGGAAGAACCAAACACAAGCTTTCAAAGGTCCCCTCCCAGTGGACATAATTCCCTGGCAGTGAGATGTGACTGTACAAAACATCGGTACAAAACATCGCCCAGTGAAGAAATACTTGAGACTTGCTGACCAGGATTTTTATTGGTGGCTAAATCACATAGATATTCCCTGGTTGGTACATACCTTAAATACAGATGCATGAAACAAAATAAGTGTTCAGCATAAATCATACTATAATTTACTCACAGTGAGACACTTTTATCTGTTCATGGTAGCAATCTTTCTAAAATTTAAGTTCTCAGACTCCAGCCAAAGCCAACATTGCCAGCAGGCCTTTTCAGAGATGGCCATTTAGGATTGTTATGTTAACTCTTTGCTGTGCTGTGCTTGGCTTTGTAGCACATATACTAAAATTGACTCTTTTCTATACAGGGACTATTCCAGAACATCCAAGAAAGATGCAAACAAGATATAAAAAGTATACATCTAACTCTACTCTTCAGGCAACTCAGAAATCAAATCTTCATTATGTTTTCTCTATTTCCCCACCAACCCCCCTCTTCCATATCGGCAATGTCATTACTCTTTGTTCCTAGGTACTATCTGACCATACTACCAGTTTTTACCTTTGCCAAAAATTTGAAATTTAAATAGAAGCTAAATAGGCAAGAATCTATTCCATTGTTAAAATTGTAAGATTTAAGATGTTAAATTTCAGTAACTCCCTTATATCTAAATCCCATATTAAACAAATATATAACTAAACATCCTTCTTCTGACCTTCATTTTTTTCATTTGTCTAGAGAGAAAATTAAAGCTCCTTAAAAACTAAAAATGCTAAAAAAAAAAAAGTTATTATTCTTTAAGGAAGACTTACTTTTCAGCTTCAATTGGTTGTTCAGAAAACAAAGTATCCAAAGAAAATAAGGAGTCACTTGACTTCAGCATTCTTAAAAACTGGACTTGTCAAATCTGTGTAGACAAAGTAGTTCATATTGTATTTGCAAAGGTGTAAAAAATATTTGAGTACATAAACTACAACCATTAACTTTCCAGAATAACCAGAGACTACCTATCGAGTTACAACTTCTGCAACTTCCTCCAAAGTACTTCAATATTCAAAAACATTATTCTTTGTTGTCTACCCTCTCATGCATATGTCTATTTTATTCTCATTACATGATATTTGCATAAATGTTTACATTCCTTTTTTAAAAGATAATTTTTACATTCAGAGATGTTATCTACTGTAAAAAGTAAAAACATTCACAATTTCAACCTGGGATTATAATAAAAAAAAATCCAGAGCAGAATAAATCTGATAGGAACAGCAGCACCATTTCTACAGACACAATTCACACTGCTGTTCATCCTCTGTACATCAACAATACATTCCATTTTTTCCTCAGTTCAGAAACATGATTGGAAATTCTGCATGAAAAAACATGAAATAAGATGCACAATAATAACATATAAATCACATTTCTATTTATTTTGTGATTGTCAATACATTGTAAATCTTAGGACAGAAACTAAAAGAAACTGGATGAGCACCATCTAGTGGGGAAATCTGTATTACCAAGTCAGATCTGGTCTCTTCAATTTTGAATCCTCCCTAAAGTGGGAATAAGTACAAATTGGGAGTGTGTGTGCTAGCTAAGAGAACTAAATTTGTACAGTACATTAGGATTGCCCTTACTCATCCAGAATGTTGTGGAGTCTTTCAATGTTTTAGTTATCCCCTCCCTACTCCCATCTGTTTAATTTCATTACCCTCTTCATTGTTCTCAATTTATTAATCACTTAATCACCAACCAAAAGAAATAATAAAAATGAAACAAATTAGTGAGTTTTATAAATGTCTAAAACAATGTGATTCACATGAGCAATAGAAACCTATGATGTTAGGGCAGGAGGCAGAAGGGAGTCAATCAGCAATTTCAGATCTTGAAAACAATTACCTAAAAAAGTATAAATTAAAAACATTATGTTTTTACATTATTCAAAAAATAGCAAATAAAACGCACCTGTTCTAATCTTCAGATTAGAAGATTATAAATGATAAAAGTTAGAAAGTAATTATAAACAATAAAAGTTTTCAAAATTAAATCTCATCAGGCCACTTTTACATGATTTTGCTACCTCATAATTTGAGTAGGAAACTTCAAGGTTAACATGTATTTGAATTCTTTACTGCTAAAGAAATCACAAAGTCACATAACTATAAACTAAAAATATTTCAGAAAAAAAATGTTTCATAAACCAATCAGAAAACTCCTATATGAATAGCAAATGTTTTCCAAAGCACTGTTTGATTTTTAGTTCTGGCATCAGAGAGAATGTAACTTGTTTGGTTCAAGGTAAAAATATCACATATATCTTTCAGTTCTGTGTATATATTTAATTCCAAGTAAAAGAAAACACCCCTAATCTGCAATTCTCTGTCCCTTTATTCTGTATTATTTTTCTTCACCGTACTAATTAGATTACTGGCATCACATCATGTTTAATTGTTTATCATCTTTTTTCCTCTAGAGCAAGCAGGTAATTTTCTCTCACTAATGGGCTCTAATAAACAGAACAGTGCCTGACATACAGTAGGTATTCCGTAAGACTTCATTGTGGAAATACATTAGCAATTATCAGATTATAAAAATTATTTTCTGTTAACTTAGAAACTTTAAATTTTACCCCTCCACCTTTAATGTTCAGTTTTTAAATGCAATTTTTTTTAGGATACAAGTAGTTAAATCATGAAAGTTCAGCAAGATCATGAATTTGTCACTTTCGTAATGCTTTTTTAAAATACAGGCTCTAAAATGGACCTTTCTACGTTTCAGTGAGTTTGTGATTACAGATGACAGATCCTGAATTAGTGTTAAATTTAGATTTTCTGTATAAATTTACAGGTTAGATTATTTATTACAAAGTTTTAGTTTCAGCCTTAGTATACAATTATATTACCAAAAAAAATCTTATTTTTTTTAACTGTTTGCTTCTGCTTTAACTGTTAAAATACTTAAGTGTTTCTGTGGCTACATAATTTATTGTCTGTTGAGATGAACTACACCTTAGCTATTTGTCTGAGTGACAAGTATTTTCGCTATCTTCTATAATCCTTACTTATTGTGTAAAAACGTCAGATCCACGAGTGATTCCTCACAAATTTTACTCTCAGAACCCCTCCTTATATCACAAATGAAGAAAAAAATAAGATACAAAATGATTTGCCAGACTCAGTCGTCAATGAAGCAGCCAAAACCAACATTCGCGGGAATAACCAACTCCCACAAACGACTGCAGGGAATCTGACAAGGAAATCAACCTGCACACCAATGATCGAGTCTCCCGGTCTCCGCCCAAGAGAGCGTCCACACAGTCACAGCCAGGGCTCTAGAGCACCCCTCCCCCGGGGTGCCCGCTGGGTCGGAGGGTTCCAGGAGGGAAACACATTAGCGTGTGAAGAAAAAAAAAATCTAGGTGGACTGCCCAGGAAATACCTCATCCCAGAGCGCCCACCCCAGTGAGACCCAAGACTGGACCCCGGAACCTCACTCCCCACCTGTGGAACCAGGTAGCCAAAGAACACGCACAGCCCCACCCGCTCGCCCTCCACAAGGCCAAAGACCTCCGAAAACACCCTCGGGGCTCCTGGCGCACCCCAAATCAAACAGCTCTGTCGGCCCGCGTCGGCCCCACACGCCGGCTGCCCGCGGGCCTCGTCCCTCGCCCCACTTCTGACAGGAAAGTCCGTAAGGTGCGACGTCCCACGCCTCACCCCGCCCGTCGCTGCCCCCCAGGAATGGGCTCGAGACGTCAAACTCCGCTCCAGCTTCCAGAAGGAGCCGGGGTAGTCCGGTCCCCACCTTCCCCACAGGGCGTCGCGCCTCCCGCTTCTCACCTTCTAGCCGCTGGCCCCACCCAGCCGAGCGCCTATTCACTCGCCCTGCAGACCCCCCAGCCTGGCTAAGCCGAGCTCCAAACAATGGATCGGCAGGGTTTCCAACCTCTCCCATCCTGCCTCCCCTGTTTTTCCTCCAACACTTTATAATTAGTTTTGAATATTTCGCAAGAGACTCTGGGTTCTTTTCATTAAATAAAACTCTTAATCCTTCCCCTAGCTTCTGGTGACTGCTGGTTACTTTCCCTTTCGATGAATTTGCCTGTTCTAGGTATCTCATCTAAGTGGAATTAGACACTATTTTGTCTTTCTGTGCCTGGTTTATGTAATTTAGTATGTTATTTTCAAAGTTCATCTATATTGTAGCATGAAATCGAATATCATTCTTTTTTGGTGGGTGAATATCCCATTGAATTAATATATGACATTTCATTTATCCATGAAAGATTTGTTTTGTTTCTACCTTTTGAATGTTGTGTGTATAATGCCCATATATTTTCTGTTGGGTTTCACGTTTTCAATTCTTAATATACATACGTAGGAGTGGAATTTCTGGTTCATGTGCCAACTTTTCTAAAGTTTAGCCTTAAAAATCATCAGGGCCCTCCCTGGTGGCGCAGTGGGGTAAAGCACAACACTGAGAATCTAAAGCCGCTTCCGCATGGGTTCGATTCCCGCCTGCCCCGAGGAGAGCCACATGGTGAGGCGGACCCCTCCTGACCCGCCCACTGCTCCCCTCAGCAGTGTGCTTGGTCCATCTGCCTGTTCTGCTCCCCACTCTGTCTCTGGTGGCTCCTCTCACCCCCGCATCTCTGGCCTGTACCCCAGTTCTGTATGAATAAATAAATCTTAAAAAAAAAAAAATCACCAGAGGACCCTCCCTGGTGGTGCAAACGGGTTAAAGTACAGCACCATGCTATCGCAGCCACTGCAGCACCAGCTCCATCCCTGGCCAGAAGTGACTCACATGCAGGTGGCAGACCTCTCCTGACCCACCCGCTGCTCTCCTCAGCAGTGTATTTCAGTAGATTTGCCTGTTCTGCTCCCCACTGTCTCTGGTGAATCCTCTCACCCACCCACCTCTAGCCTGTACCACAGTTCTGTATGTATAAATAAATCTTAAAAATTTCTAAAAAAACACCAGATACCACATCTGTGGTACCACTTTGCACTTGCACTAATAATGTAGAAGGGTTCCAATTTCTCTATATTCTCACCAACACTTGCCATGTTTTTCAGTTAGAGCCATTCTAGTAGATGGTTATGACTAGCATATCCCTAATGACTTTTCATGTGTTCAAGGGTCATTTGAATATATTCTTTGGAGAAATGTCCATGCATGTCTTTTGCTAAATGTTTGTCTTATCTTTTCATTATTGGGTTGTAGGAATTAAAAAAAATATATTCTGGATATTAATCTCTTATCAGACATATGATGTCTGACATCTTTATATAAAAATGTTTTTTCCACTTGGTAGGTTGTCAATTTTCTTATAGTATCCTTTGATACACAAAAGTTCTTACTCTTGCATCCCAATTTATCTTTTTTTTTTTCTTTTGCTGCCTAGTGCTTTTGGTGCTCTATCCATGAAGTAATTACCAAATTTGATAGCATTATCTCCAGTGTTTTTTTTTAAAGATTTATTTATTTATTCATACAGAACTGGGGTACAGTCCAGAGATGAGGAAGGTGAGAGGATTCACCAGAGACAGAGTGGGAGCAGAACAGGCAGATCGACGAAGTACACTGCTGAGGTGAGCAGCGGGCGGGTCAGGAGAGGGCTGCACCGCCATGGGATCTCTTCCCGGGCAGGCGGGGATCAAGCTCATGCGGAAGTGGCTTTAGCTTCTTAGTGCTGTGCTTTAACCTGCTGTGCCACCAGGGAGGGCCCTATCTCCAGTGTTTTAAGAGTTTTATAGCGTTAGCTCATAAGTCTAGGCCTTTGATCCATTTTTGGTTTATAATGGATTGACAAAATTTATCCGTGTGGATTAGAGGTTATGAAGGAAGGGGTCCTTTTCAATAAAAGGAAGGTTACATATAATTTTTAGAAAAACTAGAAGA